CATATGTTAGAGGTGTTACTGACAAGATTAGTTACATCTTGAAGCGTGCTTCCATTAAAACATACTTCAAGCTGCCGAAGAAATTTAGTCAGTTTTACCATCAGTTAAGTGTAATGTCCTTCTACAAGATGCAGGAGTATACTAGCTCTATTATGAATGTGGTCTTTTTTACATATGACACATAAAATGATCAATAAACGCCAGCATTAAAGAACACATAGTTGATGTGAAGAATCGACGTTCCAGAAAGTCTGCAGTCTATGAACACGTACAAAATCACCCCCGTTATAACATCAGATTTGATAGACTACAAAACCTCGCTAAAGTACACCTATTCCTTCAAAGGATGTTTCGCGAGGCAATTGAAATCAAAAAGCATCCTAATTTGAATAGAGAAGATGGCTGGGTGTTGTCATTTGATTGGGATCCTATAATTAACTTGGGCCGGTGCAGATGCAAAGGTAAATTTGCTAGCATTTTGCTAGCATCAAAACGGAGTGGAGTAAAAGTCTAAAGTCATAACTATCTTTATTTCAACAAAAGATTCAATCAAGTGGTGTGCATTACGCAGATGTAAATTAATCAGGTCATCTAATCAATTTAAATTATTCACCTTATATAATCAATTCGCTAATTTATTGGAGCTCTGCTCCTCTATAGTGTAAGAAAAAAAGATTTCAAATTCAGATTATTATTGTTTACAAATGTTGCCCGCATTGAGCTAACAAATTTTGCCGAAAACATTATGTAAATTGACCTACGGGTTACGGAGGAAATAGATTTCAATGAATCGTTTTCTTGTGCCATGGGAGCTCCACTCGCCTCGCTCGCTCCGCTCCAATAAAATTATATCCCGACCCTAGCATACAACTGCAAGACATCAAGATACTATAAGTTACTGCGTAGATCGGAACAAAAATTATTAATTTTAGTCTGAAGGTAGCCGTCGTTAACTATGACGTACTTCTTATTAGTTTGTAACCATGTAGGTTAGAGAAAGGAGAACGATCGCTGTAGAATATAGAGTCCCAGAAATATAGACAAATAAGTGAGGCACTGCAATTGCTAAGTTGTCTCAATAAAACCGGGCTGTTCGTAGACAGAGAATTCTACTGTTTACTGGGCTGTTGTGTGCTAGCATGCAGGTTAGAGAGAAGGAGAATGATCGCCACGTACTAAGGCACAGCCCACCTGTCCCTGAACTGCCGTCGGTAAGTAGTATCTGCGAAGTCAGCTGTTTATGAGTACAAGTAGATGAAGTGAGTTGAATAATGTACAAATTTTCTTCGCGGCATTAGTGAGAAAATAATCGTACTCATACATCATAACTTTTTAATTTTTGACAAAAAGGAACATTAAAAAATGGTGAAATATTGTATTGTGCGTGGATGTGCAAGTGATTTAGCATCTGATCGGAAAAATAGACTGCAAAACAATTTGCGTCAATCATCGTTATAAAAAGTACCAAAGGTAATATCTTCGTACGTTATCGATTCATACCTGTACATTGAAATATTAAATATGTAAAATTATTATTATTTGCTTAATTAATCTTGGTTGTTTTTTACTAAACTTCTTTATTGAACTTTTAAGTTATTGTGGAAATTAAGGTCAACTACAAGATTTGAAAGTTAGTAAATTCTCAAAATTTATAATAATTTATAATAATTATAACAATTAAAATTATAAAAAACATAATTTATAATTTATTTATTAATAAATAATAATAATAATAATCTTCATTATTTTCTTCTTTTTTTCTTGGAATGATTTTATATGTACACGGATATTAAACGTTGATAGAACATTTCAAATGTCTTATGGATACCACTGTTTTTCTTGGTAATAACTATTGACACGAAGCTTCAATGGGGCCCCCATATGTCTAAATTAGCAGGCAGACTTAGTTCTGCAGCATATGCTGTAAGGAAGATTAGAAGTCTATCCAATGTTGAGATAGCTAGATTAGTTTATTTTGGTTACTTTCATAGCGTAATGTCTTATGGAATCTTACTATAGGGTAATGCGACTGATATTGAAATCACATTTGTTTTGCAAAAGAGAGCCGTACGGGCAATTTACAACTTAAATTGTAAAGAGTCCCTTAGAGAAAAATTTAAGGAAATAAACATATTAATTTTGGCATCATAATATATTTATGACAATGTAATATATGTACATAAAACATAAATAACTTTCATAATAATAAAGATGTTCATACTTTAAACACTAGGAACAAACATAAGCTTGTAATACCAGTTACAAGACTCCACAGAATTAGTAATTCATTTATGGGGCAATGTATACGTTTTTACAACAACATCCCAGAATATGTACAAAAGTCATTAAACAAGTTTATATGTTTTATTAAAGAAAAATTGTACAAAAAGGATCATTATTATATAAATGAATATATAAATGAAAATAACCCTGGGAATGAGGTGATCGCCACCATGCTGGTTCTATAAAAATTCATTCAAAATTGTAACACAATAAATTTATTGTAAATTTAAATATGTTTAAAAAAAGTACCGCTGGGTTTCTTGCTGGTTCTTCCCAGGACAGAGGTTATTTTGCGAACCAGTGGTAAATTAAAAAATGACTATCAATAAATATTGTTTAATAATCTATGTTGAATAAAATCATTCATTTCATTTCAAACTATGAAACTACTATTATAACGCACAACAGGCAACTTTTAATGAGACAATTTAGCATCGCAGCGCCTCACTTATTGTATTTGTTACACCACACATTTCATTTAGTAAACGTTGCAACCTAATTTAAGCCGGGGGTCATGTGTATTTAAATTTACCTATTTAATTGCAAACTGACAATCGGCAGAACGTCAACAACCGTCCTTCTGAACACCAACTACTCAAGGAAAGATTTGCATCTCTAACTTTATTAACTATTTTACTTTTAATTAAACTTTTAACTTTAATGATCTTTTCCTTCTGATGTGCTCATCAACTAACTACAACTCTACTTCCTAAAAGTGTGTGGCCTTACACTTATTTTGTCCATATTTCTGAGACACTATTTTCTACAGCGATCGTTCTCTTTCTCTGTCCTTCATGTGCGCTAGTTTTAAATGATCTATCAACGTTTTATATACGTGTATATAATATCATACCAAGAAAAAAAAAGAAAATAACGAAATTATTATTGATTTCTTATATTTTCGCGAACACTATACATGATTAAAACTACTTTTACGGATTTTATCGCGTTTATTTTTACTTTTTATTTACTTTTATTTTTCAGTCCCCCGTGACCATGGGTACTGGAAAGCGCCCGAAACGTCGGGAATTAAAAATAAAATTAAATAAAAAGTAAAAATAAACGCGATAAAATCCGTAAAAGTAGTTTTAATCATGAAATTATTATTATTTATTAATAAATAAATCATAAATTATGGTTTTTATAATTATTACAAATATAAATTATTAACTATTATTGATTTATTATTATTTATTTACTTAAAATAAATAAAATAAAAATTACGGAGCACGATTATTTTCGATTAAATATTTACTATATTATTATATTTTTACGATTAAATTTGTACATTATTGAACTAACCTCATCTACTTGTACTCATAAATAGCTAACTTCGCAGATACTACTTACAGACGGCGGCGCGGCTATAAATTCTACAAATTTTGAGGGACAGGCGGGGTATTGCTTTAGCACGTAGCGATAGTTCTCCTTTTCTCTGACCTCCGTGGTTTGCGACTATGGAATTGGGACGTCGAACACCTCACTGCCCCCCAAAATATTAAATTACTGACCTCTATTTATTAACTACAACCTTTTTGATCTTAACAAAAACTAATGTCAAAATTAAATATCAAAACTTTTTTTCATAATAACAAGAGTCATCTGGTATATAGTGTATTGTCTATGAGAGTCATGGGCGTGCAAATTATCATAGCTGGAGTATCACATTGTGAAACCTTTGCAAAAACTTTCTTGATCGCAGATTATCTATCACAAAATCTACCGCACTTTGTATGTAAAAAAATTGAAAAACCTATTTTGGAATGGGAGGTAATAAAACCATAATAAACTAAGTGACGCAAATTTGAGTCTGCGAGATGACATATTTGTGCCATTTGCTGTGAAGATTAGCGGTCCGTGGGGTTTACGTGCGGTAAGGTTTCTAAACGAACTGTAGCCAAGACTAGTCATCACTACTGGTGATAAGAGGACTGGTTTAATTTCTCGCTCAAAGGCTCAGACCATTCAGCTAGGAAACGCAGCCAGCGTTCTTGGTACTATACCGCAGGAGTAGGATTTTATGACAGTTAGTAGGTTTAAAAGTAAAAATGTGTAAATATTGTATCTATTTGAATGCTACATAAGCAACGTGAATGAAAATCAATAAATATATTCCGATAAATAATATGAGCCAGAATTTAAATAAAATTCAATGTATATAAATATATATATATTTTTAGAATTGGCTGCATAAAATTAATATTAAATACAAATGGCATCACAGTGGATCACCATTAGTTTGGAAGGAAATGCTGATTGAGGGCAGCAAGCCTTATTACATCGGAGGTGCATCAGAATTTTTAGATTACTGTTACTCTTATTATAAATTTGAAGCATTTCTATCCACGGACAAAATTAGAGTTCAGGTGGATTCATTAAATCAATTCAGAAAGAAACATACAGATGAAAAAAAAATTCTTAACAACATGCAGCTGAGTAGAAAAGACAATGACAAAACTCTTGAGAGTAATTATATAGTTTGCATTTCGGGAGCCAGCCACCCACTCACCATGTATATAATATCTGGCCTATTAGATATGACTGTGAACCAAAAATGTATATCGAAAATTTATATTTATGATACAAAATGCAGTTCAAAGTTTTTAGATTCTGTAGAAAGCCAGTGTAGTTACGTGAGCACACATTACCCAGGAAAGGTTGTAAAACATGTTACAAAAATTGGTATTGCCCTTACCCATTGTGACTTGCTAATTGTCATGGATTACGTACCTTTCAGGTACGTAATAAGTTCTTTTTTATAGATAAATATAATTTTGCTTATAATTCTATTCGACAGTTTCGCTAATTATTGAAAAAAATCGTAACCACAAACTTTTAGACCAAAATTTATTCCATGTTTCTATATCGTTGTATCATACAGATACTACTTAATAAGAAAGCAAAATGCTTAATCTTTATTTTGATTTTTCAGAATGGATTTATCTATTGGTGATTGGCTGTATCAAAATTCCAAGATAATGAAAAATCTTGCACCACTGATAAACGCTTCAGCATCACGCAATATGTTTATTATTTTACCTAATCTAGGACCGGCTTGTTATAATGCTACCCTGTTAACAAAATTACTTACAAATATTAATAAAAAAAATATAGTTGTGGTAACCTCTGATTTAGGTTTGGAAATAACTCCAATAGCGGCTGAAATTACAGAAATTCCATTAAAAAACATGTTTTGCCCACCGGTATGGGGATTTGTTGGAATTAATCATCTTGTAGACATCAAGAATATAGTTCATAAATATAATGTTTTTGAACCATTTAATAGATATATAAAAGTTCAAAGTTCTTCATTATGCATCGGAGTTCTTACACCAGAATTAAGAACTCTAGAATATTTAATGCATTTTAATGAGAGTCTGTGGACAAAATTATTAGACACAAAAGTAAGTATTTTATAAACGTAGTCATATACTAATATATATAGTTAGTAGTTACTGAATTAATTACTAATGTGAATAAAATACTTTAGCGAAAAGTTAAGAATGAAGAATTGTCGCTGAATAAAGCCACGGCGGTTTTAAACTTCATTAAACTCTGGCTTTCAGGCCCTAATTCAAATTATATTCTAAGTTTGGGCATAATATGCGATGGTTAGTAACATTGAGTACCTTACGGTTAATAAATTAAAACTTTACAGGTCCATAATCTTTAATTTAGTATTGTTTAATTTTAGGATCTTTTGGATTAACTTTTAACGGGGTTTTTTCTCAGCCAGTTAGATATGTTAAAGGTTATTGGCAGCCCGCTGCTGATTTCATGACACCTAAAGATCCACAAATGAATATACTATATCTAGCACAATTAGCAGAAAAAATTATGTGTTTTAAAAAAAAAGAGCTGCCCGTGATTGTTCCTTACAATCCTTGCACATGTTTACGTAAAAAGGATAAAGACCATGAAAATATTAGAAAAAAGAAAACAACGTTTTTTAAAGAAGAATAATAATAATATTAAAGATGGCGCCCGATTTTTAGATATATCTTTCCATTTAAACTGAATTTCTATCCGGTATATATATAACATTCTTTCATTACAGAAACATATCTTAATAAAATTTCAGCTATATTAGTTTGAAAAAGTTATATATGAATATATATCGTATATATTTTCGTATTGAAATTGTATCTGGATCACGATGTAAGCAACGCGACGGCATAATTGTTTGGTGACTATAACTATATAATAAATTCATGTTGGTTAAGAAACTGAATATTTTTGTCTTTTATAATGATTTCATATTGCACAATTTTTACCCTGCACAAGGAGGATGCGTACAGGTTAACCGCAACAATTTGAATATTATATTATTTCTAAACTCTACATAAGAAAGTTTTATGATTTATAGCAACCATGCACTAAGTACCAGCACGTAATCACTAATACCGAGCACCAAAACACATCTCAAACAACCACACTAGAAAGTCAAACTCAAAGTAGAAAATATATGTGTATTGTTAGAAAGTAATAAGCGTAGAAATAAGTTTATAGAATATTGTATAGATATAGCAAAGGAAGCAATAAATAGAAATAATACTAGGTAATAAAGTATATCGATAATATATACTGTGTTATATATTCAGAACATACTAACAGAATAAAGATGTTTAAAAGAAGCATAAGCATAGTGTGAAAGGGAATGTTATACTATAATGAAACTAGCAAATTAGCGCAATTGTAGCACTACACTTTAAAATAAAAAACAAAGCAGACAAAACACACCCATAAACAAAAAAAAAAATAAACAAAAAACAAACACGAAACTGTAAGTAAACTTACGATTTTCCCCACCATCCAACAGAGCAAGGGCTGCAAAAAAGAAGTCGTCGAAGCCCGCACATAGTTGAGGAAAGTGTCCGACCTCCTCCGAAAAAAAAAAAACAACCACACTCTTTTCGTATACAAAATGTCACATTTTCCTTTATATTAAATTCTTAAAATTGAAATTTATTTATTTTCTACAAGCCACAAACCACAAGTGCCTTAAAACTATGTTTCATTAATTGATATTTTGACAAAAATGGTTGAGGGTCGCTGGCGCTTGAAGTAGGTAATTAAAACCTGAGTTACTAGGTTATAAGTCACCAGGTCTCCATTTTAGTTATCGTTAACCACTATGATCAGAAAAGGCAGTATGGTCTAAGACTTTTGTCTATCTGAATTGAATGACATTTGAAAGTCTACTAGCAATGTTGCCATAATATAACCTTTCTTACTTTTTTCGGGACTTTGAAAAGTTCCGAAAAATGTAAGAAAAATTACTTTTATACCTAGTTAATAAAACTCATGTAACTTGTATGTAAGAAAAACTTGCATCGCATTTGTAAAACTTTGAAAATATTATATTTATTCATTATCACAACTAATTTAGCAAAATTTCCGTATCCACAAATTTCAAACCAAAAACTCACTTTTTAACTATTTTTATTCTTTAATTTGGTCACGTAACAAAATTGACACAATAAAAAAATTATACGAGAAGGGGCGAACGAGCATACGGTTCACCTGATGTTAAGTGACTACCGCAGTCTATGAACAACTACAACACCACGGGAATTGCAGGTGCGTTGACGGCCTTTTATAAAGGAGTAAGCTCTTTTTTGAAGGTCCCTGAGTTGTATCGGTCCGGAAAAATCGCCGGTGGTAAATTATTTCACAGAGAGATCGTACGCGGAAGAAAACTCCTAGTGAAACGTACAGTGGTGGACCGCCAAGCATCCGGATGGTGTGGATGGTATCAGGAGTTTTGCCGTGATGTGCGTTCATGAAATTTGGCGGCTGGGATTAATCCGAACAATTGTTCAGAGCACTCCCCATGGTAGATGCGAAAGAAAATGCAAAGAAATGCAACATCTATTCGCAGCACCGGTGAATCCATCCGATCGGAAAGCACTCAGTTGTCGATGATTCAAGTTTCTCTGCGCTGGATGCAGTCAAGTGAATGAGCTGGAACTGGGGAGTGCCAGTTCAGAGATGGGAACAGTATTCCATGTGAGGCTGAACCTGCGCCTTGTAAAGTTGCAGACGGTGTGCCGGCACGAAGTACTGTCCCGCTCTGCTGAGCACGCCAAGCTTTTTAGAAGCCAATTTGGCTTTCTCTTCCAAATTTGTGAATATTTTTATCAAATGCCTGTTGATTTTAATATTGTCACATTTTGATATGTAAATAAGGCATGTCTGGTGTCAGCGTAACTTTCAACCAAGTCATGCTGACAACACCGACTTGAATATATGTTATATGTATATTCAGTTGAATATATATCTATATTTATCTAGTATTCTAGACCTAGCTAGTATTTGACGATCAGACGTCAGCAGACGTCAGTTTTGAAAGTTGTCTGTGTATGTTGTATTCGCATTCAGTACGTTTAGTAGAGAAATGTTATGACGTGCAGCAACTGTCTTTGTTTTAATAATATTCAGACGAACGCAGACAACTTTCTTATAACAATAATGTAGTAAAGAGAGCTGGGAATAAAAATAAGCCTTTTTTTTTTTGCAATGATTCTTTCTAAACTATGACCGTGCCAATAGGAGTTGTAAGCATAGTTAGGTGTTCGTATTGGTTAAGTTTTGTAAATGTTGTGCCAACAATGAGATAGTGGAGTGTTGTGATGTGGTTGTGGGACATGTGGGGTGTGCTATGGATCGTGGAGGCATTGGCGCAGTTGGTGGCTGTGGTGGGTACGCCGTTGGAACCAGCACCGTTGAACTTACGAGGTGAGAGGAACCTTCAATTCTTTGACAAAATGCATTGTGGTACTTTTTTCATCACATCTTTATCTATAATGCCATAGTACTATGTTACTTAGGGAGTTTTATGTCATCATTTCTTTTTTGTCTGATATTGTACAGTATTTTTTGTATTTGCAATTTATCAACTAATAAATTAATTACTTCATTGCCGAACTTTTATTCTATAACGATACATGCTTTGCATTTAACGGTTATCGTTTTAATAAAATAGACATATATATTTTGTAATTTTTATGTAATATGTTACTGCTTAAATATACAATGATGATATAGAAGTTATGCAATGAACTAATTAGTTTTTAATTCATAAATTGGAAATTAAAAAACAAGTACAATTTCAGATAAAATATAATTTCTTTGTGTTTTAAAAATTATTTTATAATTGGTAAATGTTGGTAATATGTATATTATGTATCATAATAAAAGTTTAAATGAAAGTTTTATTTGCTTTAATTCAACTTAAGATAATAACTTACATATTGATTCATACATATAAATAATAAACATGAACTCTCACAAGGTTTTGAATTGCCACATGTGCCTTTTTACTCCGTCTTGCATTCACTCTTCATTCATATCCTTTTTATGTCCATCATCCCAGTTAAGCACATCTTAAACACACAAAACTCATCTACAAGCTCAACCTAATAGTGTTTAACATTTTTCTCTTTCAAAAACCTTTACTTTTGTTTTATATCACTAACTATATGTAAGTTAAACCCGTCAATCCCAATAAAAATCCCATGCAGTTGCTTGCGCTGTGGTCGGATTCAACCGCTTGAGGACTGAGGAGTAAAAAAATTTGAACAATACACTTTGATCATGAGCTGATTCTAGTTGGTAATTATTGCTTGCTTGCTTGCAAGTGAAAATAATAGACTATGCAGAATAATAAAGTTTTTAAAATTGTCCTCTACTCAGTTATGAAAATAAGAAAAGGGTAATTGGGCTCTTACAGTGTCTTCCTTTTTTATTATTTATAATGGAAACTACAATAATAGAGGAAACAATTGGTTGTAGTTTACACTGTATATTTTACATAAAGGTCAAGTTAATGACTGTGTAAATGATGATTCAGGCGTATTTTGTGTTTGTGGAATAATTTAACTTACTTGCTGCAAGATGATTGTTGGAAAATATTTTTTAAACTGAAAGTAAAACAAAAATGATAATACTTTACTTTTGCTTCTTCTTGTTATAACAAGCAAATTATAATGAAAAAAAAATGTAGAATGCATTTGCAGACACCTAAGTAATGTTGGATATTTGCTTATTAATTTTGACCAAAATTATCTCTATATATAAAAATCAATTGCTGTTTAGTCTTGCTAAATCTCAAAAGTGAAATGAATGATGAAATTTTTTGTGTGTGTTTGAATAGGTACCTGAATGGTTTGGATTCACAATTAATCCAGTAGGTGGCGATATTGTCGAGAATCGGAAATCACCCGTGCGAAGCTGGGCAGATCGCTAGTTTTGATAATTTTTATTGTGTGCAATAATAAGTTTAGTGATACATCCTGTAAATACTAGGAACAAGCACAAACTTTTAATACCAGTTACTTAACTCTGAATATTCAGCAATTTCTTCATTGGGTAATGTATTGTGCTTTTACAATGAAGTCCTAAAAGAAAATATCAATAAAACAAACAAACAACAAAGAAAATTACAAGACCTATCTATCAAAAAGTTTTGAATTTTTATCAAGATAAAGTAGTTTCGATCGACAATACCCTCTTGGAATGATGTGGTGGCTACTATATTGTTTCTAATGTTTACATGTATAATTGTATGTCCAATATAAAGTATTGTAAATTAATATTTAAAAGAAGTCCCAACTTAAAATCTAGTGAGATATAATTTTAAATAACTATAGCTAGTCTAACATTAGAAATGTATAATAATTTATTTGGTGTAACATTCTAGTAAAGATAAACAAAGAAGTATCTCATCAAAAATTAGAATAAAAATAAATATTTGACATCACAATATAATAAAACAACAGAACTAAAAATAAGTTAGAAAGTTAAGAAAGAAATGCATAATATTGCCTGTTTCAGATAAATTGCTGCTATACTAAAAGTACTGCAGCATCTATTTTCAAAGGAAGACCAATGTTGACATTATGGATGAATATTCCAAAATTGAGCATTGTGACAAATTATTTTCTTTTTCCATTTTGTAACAA